CTGTCTTGCACAGCCCGGCTCTGCTCCAGCGGAGGACGCAGGTTCGCCGTGATGGCCTTCTCCTGCTTATCCAGCTCGCTGTTCACTTTCTCCAGCCCGGCCAGCAGCTGCCGCCCTTCTACAGACGCCGCATGTAAGGGAAGCCCGGGGGGGGGGGAGATTTGAAGAAGTCTCTGGTCAGTGACTCGGGCGACTCTACAAATTCTAAGTTTGATCATTAAAGCAGAAGGGGACGTTGGTCACGGAGAGAATGAAGGGAGTTTTGGGGCACCCACCTCCGATGCTGTCCGCCTTCAGGGTGTCGTGCCGCTGCTGCAGGAGGGTCTTCGTGCCGGCTGTCTTCTGCTTCACACTCTGATACTGGCCGGAGATGCTACAGAAGGAGAGGAAAGCACAGTCAGGTGGGGGGATGGTGCACGAATCTGTGCCCCGTGTGATCCCGTGGCCGAATTGGAATCAGGCAGTTAGAATCCAGCGAGTTAGATGAATATCTGTTTGCTGCAATGGAAACCGGGAATACAGGGGCTGAGTACCTTAGCACTTCAGCAATTCCAAGCTGTATTCTGCCATAACCAGGAAGGGCAGACGGTCTTATGCCCAAGTGACATCACATGTAACTTACACATTAAAGAATCTCATTGGTACCAAGAAGAAGAAGAAGAAGAGATTGGATTTATACTTCACTACCCAAAGGAGTCTCAGAGCAGCTTACAGACTCCTTTCCCTCCTCCTCCCCACAACAGACACCCTGTGAGGCAGGTGGGGCTGGGAGAGCTGTGAAAGAACTGCTCTTTTTCAAGAACAGCTCTTATCAGAGCTATGGCTTGCCCAAGGTCATCCAGCCAGGTGCAAGTGAAGGAGTGGGGAATCAAACCCGGTTCTCCCAGATTAGCGTCCGCACACTTAAACTACGATACCAAACTTGGCTACACCAAGCAGTTAACATCATGGAAGCATCATTTGACTCAGTGCATCTCTCATTGGTGTCAGTAATTACACTTGCTTATCTGGTCTTCAGAACACCGGGAACATTAGAGAACACTGGGACCCTTTCTGGCCTCGCTTATGGAGAACTAGCTGATAAGGGCTGTGATTCACAGTAAGCTTAGCTCTCGGCGTCCTGGCAACTTCTAAATACGCATTCCGTTCCATTGCCTCTTAATTCCATCTACAGAGGCTTCTAATAATATTTTTACTTGATATGGCTTCTTGTACAAACATGCAATTATAAAATATGTATGTTCTGCTATACATTTCTCTAATCAGAAGATTCTAGCTTACGCCAAGATCTGAATCTATTAATATTCAACTTTTAAAGGCACAGTGACAGCTGTCAATATATATATCAGAGGAAGAGAGAGTGTCAGAAATCACATTCTTTCCCCCTTAAGGCCGCATTCTTGTGTTCGGCAAGGAGGCATGTCCTTACGCTGTCCCACCGTTCGCCTCCAACTGGGGTTCGCACTTACTTGTCAGCAAGGGTCAGTGATTCCGGATCCGTCGGAGGGATCATGAAGCAGACGCCGGGGGTGGAGATGATGCTTCCCGCGTTGTCTGTGACCTCCCAGAGGTCACCGTTGTTCTTCTGCAGCATGTAGGTGGCTCCGCGCGTGATCTGACCCTGCGGGAGAAAAGAGTTTGCTGCAAAAAAAACCCCCCCCTGTACGTGTCGCTTCTGCACGCACACACCCTGGGGGTAATACTCGTCTCCTGAAAGTGTTTGTTTCACACCTGGGGAGGATGACCACTTGTGGGTTTCAAGGCAAGAGAGGTTCAGAGGTGGGTTGCCATTGTCTTGGGCATTACAAGTTGAACACACTCAGTATATCTGGGGTTAAATGTTTGTTTATGCTACTCCCCGGAAGTCACATGTTTCTCGTGTAACCAATGTTCTTTAGCTGTAGGAAGCCCGGGAATTTTCTCCCTGATCTAGGGGTTTGCTTGGGCCTAAAGGTGTATTACCACTTTATGGCTTCTCTTCCCGACTTCGTTTTGGTGTTCTGAAGAACAAGAAGAGCAGCCATACTCTCTCTCTTCTAGTTTTGTCTTTGTAGAGTAAGGATGTAGCCGATTTTGCTCTGTGGTTATTTTCATCCCAGTTACCCTTCCCATGCTAGAATTTAGTAAAAACTTTATATTTTAATCACACATGGACTCTGAGTCTGAATTATTTTATTCCAGGACCGCTGGACTATATTATCTCTGCTAAATACCATTTTTTTTCAATATCTCACTATCACCCAACACATTGCCTGCCTCTGCGTAGCAACCTTAGACTTCCTTGGTGGTCTCCCATCCTAGTACTAACCAAGGGTTATCCTACGTAGCGTCTGAGATCTGAGGAGAGCAGGCTCGCCTGGGCCATCCAGGTCATGGTTAGTAACTGCATGCCAATGAGCAGAGGTGGGTTGCTCTTGCCTGCCTCTGCATAGCAACCTTAGACTTCCTTGGTGGTCTCCCATCCTAGTACTAACCAAGGGTTATCCTACGTAGCTTCTGAGATCTGAGGAGAGGAGGCTAGCCTGGGCCATCCAGGTCAGGGTTAGTCACTGCATGCCAATGAGCAGAGGTGGGTTGCCCTTGCCTGCCTCTGCGTAGCAACCCTGGACGAACTTGGTGGCCTTCCATCCAAATACCGACTAGGGCTGACCTGGCTTAGCTTCCGAGATAGACAAAAATCAGGCAAGCCCAGGGTTTTGAGGTCTGGGCAGTCACAGGCATAGACCGCTTTAAAAGGGAAGTAGAGAGATTCACAGAGGATAGGTCTATCACTTGCTACCAGCCAGAGTGTCTAAATGGAACCTCCACATTCAGGAGCAGTAAGCCTCTGAATCCCGGAGCCGGGAGGCAACGTTAGAGGACGGCGTCCGCCTCTGTGCCCTCTTTTCGGCCCTCCAGAGGAACTGGCTGACCCCTGTGTGAGGCGGGACGCTGGACTAGATGGACTACCTGTTTGACCCAGCAGGGCTCTGCCGATGTTCTTCTGAGATGCTCACCTGGTCGCTTTCATAGTCACAGAGGGCTTCCACCGGGATGGGCTTGAGGGGCGTCTCCCGGCGATACCTCAGCGGCAGCACCTGCTGGCCGCGCTTCTGCAGGGACTTCACCACGTCCTCGTACTTGTCCAAGGCCTTCTCTTGGTGGTCAGGGTTAGTCACTGCATGCCAATGAGCAGAGGTGGGTTGCCCTTGCCTGCCTCTGCGTAGCAACCCTGGACGAACTTGGTGGCCTTCCATCCAAATACCGACTAGGGCTGACCTGGCTTAGCTTCCGAGATAGACAAAAATCAGGCAAGCCCAGGGTTTTGAGGTCTGGGCAGTCACAGGCATAGACCGCTTTAAAAGGGAAGTAGAGAGATTCACAGAGGATAGGTCTATCACTTGCTACCAGCCAGAGTGTCTAAATGGAACCTCCACATTCAGGAGCAGTAAGCCTCTGAATCCCGGAGCCGGGAGGCAACGTTAGAGGACGGCGTCCGCCTCTGTGCCCTCTTTTCGGCCCTCCAGAGGAACTGGCTGACCCCTGTGTGAGGCGGGACGCTGGACTAGATGGACTACCTGTTTGACCCAGCAGGGCTCTGCCGATGTTCTTCTGAGATGCTCACCTGGTCGCTTTCATAGTCACAGAGGGCTTCCACCGGGATGGGCTTGAGGGGCGGGTTGCCCTTGCCTGCCTCTGCGTAGCAACCCTGGACGAACTTGGTGGCCTTCCATCCAAATACCGACTAGGGCTGACCTGGCTTAGCTTCCGAGATAGACAAAAATCAGGCAAGCCCAGGGTTTTGAGGTCTGGGCAGTCACAGGCATAGACCGCTTTAAAAGGGAAGTAGAGAGATTCACAGAGGATAGGTCTATCACTTGCTACCAGCCAGAGTGTCTAAATGGAACCTCCACATTCAGGAGCAGTAAGCCTCTGAATCCCGGAGCCGGGAGGCAACGTTAGAGGACGGCGTCCGCCTCTGTGCCCTCTTTTCGGCCCTCCAGAGGAACTGGCTGACCCCTGTGTGAGGCGGGACGCTGGACTAGATGGACTACCTGTTTGACCCAGCAGGGCTCTGCCGATGTTCTTCTGAGATGCTCACCTGGTCGCTTTCATAGTCACAGAGGGCTTCCACCGGGATGGGCTTGAGGGGCGTCTCCCGGCGATACCTCAGCGGCAGCACCTGCTGGCCGCGCTTCTGCAGGGACTTCACCACGTCCTCGTACTTGTCCAAGGCCTTCTCTTGGTCCTGCCCAGAGAGCAAAGCATGCCAATGAGCAGAGGTGGGTTGCCATTTCTTTAGAAAGAGCAGGTAGAGAAAGAGGTACTTTTCTCCCTTTCCCACAAGACAAGAACTCCTTGTGGACACTCCATGAAATTGCTGAGCGGTCGGGTTAGAACAGATGAGAGGAAGTACTTCTTCACCCAAAGAGTGATTAACACTTGGAATTCAGTGCCACAGGAAGTGGTGGCGGCTACAAGCATGGACAGCTTCAAGAGAGAATTAGATAAGCATCTGGAGCAGAGGTCCATCAGTGGCTATTAACCACAAGGTATAGATAGGGACTCTGGGGCAAGTGATGCTCTGTCATCTTGGTGCTTGGGGGGGGTCAACAGTGGGAGGGCTTCTAATGTCCTGGCCCCACTGCTGGATCTCCTGATGGCACCTGGTATTTCTGGCCACTGTGTGATACAGAGTGTTGGACTGGGTAGGCCTTTGGCCTGATCCAACATTGGCTTCTCTTATGTTCTTATGTTCTTAAAGCAAAGATCGTGGCACCGCAGGAGAAGGGAGGACCAGAACCCCCAAAGAGAGAAAGGCCAAGAAAGGTTGGCAAACGCAGAGGCAGTGGGGCAGTCAACAGGAGGGAGTCCGGGCTGCACCACCCAAGAGAATCCCCAGCGCCCATGTGAGGACGCATCTGTAATGTGTAGCTTTCCAGGTGTTGGCTCGTCTCCTGGATTTCTCACACAGCTAGGCTGTGGATTGCTAGGCTGTTGCACGGGGTACTTGCCTCCAGTTCCCGTAGCAAAGCGGTCGTGCCAGTAGCTGCATGTGGAGGAGCGGGGAATCAAACCCGGTTCTCCCAGCTTAGAGTCTGCACTCTTAACCACTACACCAAACGGGCTCTGGAAAAATGGTCTAGTTTGTAGGGAGAAAGAAGAAACCCTTAAGCTGAGCGCTGTTTCTTGGCATAACGTACCTCGCAGGGTCGTTGTGAAAAGAAGGGAGAAGCTGATCACACGAAATCCATGGAGGGAATGGTGGAATTAAAAAAAAATGTAACAGACAGACTTTCAGCTCAGCGGGCAAGACCTTCCGGAGTTTAAACCCCTCATCTTTAGAAATTACAAACTGTTGAATTATCAGTTCGCTTGCTCTCTTAACCCCCCTCTTTCCCAAAATCTGGAAGCCTGCTGGAAATGGTTCCAACCAAGAGAGAGAAAGGGATGAATAGAAGAAAGGAAAGGGATAGAGAAGCACGGCCTCCACTTTGCATTTACTAGTCTTTCTCCCCCCCCCCTTGCTGATTTCTTTCCTTAATGCACAGTCCAGCTCCGTATTCAACCCCGCATGCACAAAATCTTAAGTTCTCGCTGTCCACTTTCTCACTCCACAAAATGTGTCCACTATGGAAGAAGAAGAGAACAGAGAAGAGGTTGGATTTCTACCCAGCCGTTCACTACCTGAAAGTCTCAGAGCGGCTTGCCATCTCCTTTCCCTTCCCCTACCCACAACAGACACCCTGTGTGGTCGGTGGAGCTGAGAGAGCTCTTTCGAGGACTGCCCTTGAGAGAGCAGCTCCGAGAGAACTTGTGACTGACCCAAGGCCCCACCAGCAGCTGCATGTGGAGGCGTGGGGGATCAAACCCAGTTCTCCCAGATTAGAGTCCGCACTCCTAAACATGACACCAAACTGGGATACACTCTGGCCCTCACAGTCTCTACACCTCAACCGGAATCCTCCTGACGGGTCAAAAGAATCGAGGGGTCGGATGTGCTCAGTGAACAGCGCTCCCCGCAATGGATGATCGAGCCCAGTGAGAGCTCACCCTTGGACAAATTCTCCTGGCAAAACAAGCCACCAGCATGCCCTTTCTCTCTGGGAGAAAACCCATGCAGGAAACATTTCTCCGAGAGACACCTCCAGAAAGCTGAGGCCGGACTACACCTGCCAGTGAGGCGGTTTGGGAAAGAACAGCAGGGAAAACCGGTTGGGTTAGGTTGTTTTCCCTCCGGGCTGTTTCCCAGACAAACACCCACGAGCACTGAGCCTGGGACCTCCCTGCTTTTGGCGGGGCCTTGCTGAACAAAACGTCTGCAAGGAGAGGCTTGCAATTTAAAGACAAGCAGAGTCGCCTTCCCACCTTCCTCCTTGGCAAATGGCACCATGCAAGAGCCGTCTCGCTGCATCCAGGAAAAGTTCCCCCAAAGCAAGCAACACCAGAGGTGCGAAACAGTCATGGCTACATCAGGGCAGGGAGAACAGGTGAATGTACCGCTGAAGAACGAGGACGTTGAACCCGCTGGGGTGGTAATACAGGCGAGACAGTGCCAATCTTTTTAATAAACCTGTCCTCATGCCATGGTCTCATCCAAACCGGGCCTCCGGTGAATATTAAATGAAGTTAAAACACACACAGAGACACGGTTTTCCATACGCAGAACAGTGTGCTGTGCTGTTAGGTCCTTTGACTAAACATGTTCCTAATTTCAGGCCTCAGGCTCTTTGGGAAGCGCACGAGCCATTTCAGTGCTGCTACCGACTCCGACGCTCCCTCTAAGCTCTGTGGAGTCTTGTGAGCAAAAATCCTACTTTGTGAGCCACGGGCGTTAACGTTTTGAGCGAGCGATCGGGCGGCGGCATAAATCAGTTTGCTCTGGAGCCCTCCTTCCCGAGCTGGGGCAAAAGGGTGTGAGTCGGAGGCTAAAGAACTGTGAGCTGGCTCAGGCTAACACAGCCTAGAGAGAACACTGGAAGAGAGTCAGCCGGTTGGCGAGGCATGATGGTGTCTTCGTAAACAGAGAACGGCAATGGCGGATCTTCCTGTGTTGTCACAGACAGGGCCGATGTCAGCTTCCCCTCATTTGGAGAAGCTGCCAAGGCCCAGGTTTTCTGGGGGCCCCCACCCACTCATCTGCTTGTTGTGAGCCTCCCCACCACCACCCACGCTCAGGGCCGGCTCACTCACTAGGCGAATTAGGCGTTCGCCTAGAGAGGGCCGGCCCTTAGGGGTGCCAAATAGCACCCGCCGCCCCCCGACAAAATCCCCCCAACCACCAAAAGCCCTGCATTTCCGCAGCTGGGGAAGCTCTTTTGATGAGCCCGGTGCACGGGGGGGGGGGGTATGTGTGCCAGAAGGGATCCTCGCCTAGGGTGCAAAATAAGCTGGGGCCGGCCCTGCCCACACTCCCAGTTGCACACACGGCCCAACACAGTCAAGGAAGGTTGTGCGAGCATGAGGAGGACTGGAAAATGAATGAGTGTGTATGTGGGAGGGTAAAATGGCAAGCAGGGGTGGGGTGGGGAAGGACGGCATGGGGGCGGTCTCTCTCTCTGCCCAGGGCCCATTGAAACCTGGAACTGGCCCTGGTCACAAAGAACAAATATCCCTGAACATTCTGTGGTGTGTTAGTTTTGTTCCTCCCTCGAGGCCTGCCTTCTCCCCACCCCAGAGTCGCCCACCCACGTTGCCGAGAGGCCTAAGTCTCCAGGTGGTCACCACCTCTCAGAACGGATATTACAGCATGGGGGAAAGTGCAGAAAAGGGCAACTCGAATGATAAAAGGGCTGGAACACTTTCCCTATGAAGAAAGGTTAAGGCGCTTAGGGCTCTTTAGCTTGGAGAAACGATGGCTGAGGGGTGACATGATCGAGGTTTATAAGATTATGCATGGGAGAGAGCAGGTAGAGAAAGAGGTACTTTTCTCCCTTTCTCACAATACAAGAACTCCTTGTGGGCACTCCATGAAATTGCTGAGCGGTCGGGTCAGAACGGATAAAAGGAAGTCCTTCTTCACCCAAAGAGTGATTAACACGTGGAATTCACTGCCACAGGAAGTGGTGGCGGCTACAAGCATGGACAGCTTCAAGAGGGAATTGGATAAACATGTGGAGCACAGGTCCATCAGTGGCTATTAGCCACAAGGTATAGCTGGGAACTCTCAGGCTGGGGCAAGGGATGCTCTGTATTCTTGGTGCTTGGGGGGGGGGGCAACAGTGGGAGGGCTTCTAGTGTCCTGGCCTCCCTGCTGGACCTCCTGATGGCATCTGGTATTTTTGGCCACTGTGTGATACAGAGTGTTGGACTGGATGGGCCATTGGTCTGGTCCAACATTGGCTTCTCTTATGTTGTTACATACCTGGTGGTAAAAAAAAAGGTAAAGGTTCCCTTGCTTGAAAGCCAGTCGAATCTGACTCTAGGGTTGTAGTGCTCATCTCCGTTTCAAAGCCAAAGAGCCAGCGCTGTCCGAAGACATCTCCGTAGTCATGTGGCCAGCATGACTAAACCCCAAGGCGCACGGAACGCTGTTTCCTTCCCACCAAAGTGGTACCTATTAATCTACTTGCAATTTCTTGCTTTCGAACTGCTAGGTTGGCAGGAGCTGGGACCAGAGACGGGCGCTCACTCCGTCATGTGGCACACTCGGGTCTCGAACTGCTGAACTACCAACCTTCCACAGCCTGCAGTTCAGCGTCTTAACCACATGAGCCACCGCAGCTCCTACCTACCTGGTGGTAGTCCTCCATAAACTTGAGGTGACTCTCCTCACAGATGAGCAGGTTGAGGTACTCCTTCCAGTCGGCGTGGACCGCCTCCACGTGAGCCTGGCGAAAGACAGCAAGAGCAGGCCTCAGGGGGTGCCGGGTTGCCCTCCGTGGAGCCCGTTATAAGACTCAGAGCTGGGGAAGGAGACGGAAGCTCCTCGAGACAAACTGACCTCAATGGGGATCTTCCCAGGGTGGCTTTGCGCCAGCAGGCCGTCCCCGTCCTTGTGAAGCTTGTTGATGGCTTCTTCTTTCTCTTCTAACTTTCGGTTGATGAAATTCTAGAAAGTGAAAATACAGGAGTGTAATGATTCCTTGTTTTAGGTGTGTGTGTGTCTCTTTAAAAGTTTGGTTGCATGGCGGTGGTAAGTAGACTAGAGTGGTTGAGAGAAGCAAGTGTGGTATGATTGGTGGTTGACAGAGAGGGGGAGGGGTTTGGGAAGTGAGAATGAGTGGATATGTCTGTATGTCAGTCAGAGGTTACAGTTACAGGTTTGACAGTTGAGGAGTTCAGTTAGTTCTGTGTGGGGAATGAGTTAGACAAGCAGTTAGTTCTGGGTATGAAGGAAGTTAGAAGCAGTCCTGTATAGAAAAAGTTAGTTCAGTGAGAAACAGACGGAAGGCTGAGAGAATAGGAAAAAGTAAATGAACATTTAATTGAAGACAAGTTATAAGAAAGGCTGTATGTCCTGATAAACTGGAGAGAAAGAGAGACAAATATATGACCTTGAGTTTAAGTGTTACAAAATTACCTGAAAGATCCCTGTCAGTAAGGGAGCATATTGTGTGTGATACACCAAGCAATGGTTCATTTATTACACATTACTAGATACCTTGTTCCACCCTTTTATTTATGAATTATTTCAATAAATCCTCTTTTATTCAAATATACCAGCTCTGCAAGCAATACTTCCTTAGGACCACATAGTTCCTCATAAGCCTTGAACTCGGACTACCTAACTAGTAAGAGCAGAAGTAAAAGTATAAAGATTTGGAAAGCCTTAAATTTCCTGGTGGCAGCCGTATATACATAGTAGAATAAAATAAAGAACACTTTTAAAGGGAAACCAGTCCTCCAGAATAAGGAGGTTGTAACAGGGAGGGTGTATGTGTGTGTGTGTGTCAGGACTTTGGGACAGACAGGCGTAGAGCTACTTCTAGTCATACATCCGGCAGACCCATAGCCAGGAATTTTTTTAATCCAGGGGGCCTTTAAATAAGTCAGGGGGCACCCTGCACACACACCCCAAGGGAGCGCCACAAATTCAAAAAATCAGAAGTCGGGGGGCCCTTGTGGGTAAGTTGGGAGGCCTCACTGTAGCTACGGGCCTGACATCTGGACAGTTCTGAAAAGTCCCACTGTGAAAGGAACTCCCTCTTCTAAGTCCCCCAGCATCTCCTTGCGCAGGCAAGAAAAGAGACGGAGACGCGTACACGGCAAAGTTCTCACAAGCTCAAAGACTCCTGGCTCCTCGCTGCTCGGCGTCTTTTGTTGGCGGGAGTCAGCCCTGGCGGCTTCAGAAACCAACCGGTTACCTCGTACTGACGGCGCCGGCTGGGGTAGTCCAGGTTGCGATCGCTCCAGTCGTACTGCATCCGGTCCTTGGCCTGCTGATCGAGCCAGTAGAGCTTGTTGGTGCAGCGCTGCATGTAATCGTGCAGCGAGTTCAGATCCTGCTGCCTCTTCTGGGATCCTGCCTGTAAGGGAAAGGGAAGGCCGCTGAGTGTCCGGGCCTGGAAAGCGGAAGCCGCACCAGACTCCTCTAGAGTAAAGCTGTTTCATTCTCAAACCAAAGTATCTGCCTGTTTATAACAATAATAACTGTGTGCTGTCAACTCGTGAGATGGCGACCCCAGCCAGAGAGGTGGCTTGCCACTGCCCTCCTCTGTGTACCAACCCTGGACTTTCTTCGTGGTGTCCCATCCAGTGACTAACCAGGGCGGACCCTGCTTAGCTTCCACGATCTGATGAGACCAGGCCAGCCTGGGCCCTCCAGGTTGGGGGAGAGACCATTGCCTTCCTCTGCGTAGCAACCCTGCACTTCCTCTGCATTCTCCCATCCGAAGACTAACCAGGGCCGACCCTGCTTAGCTTCCACGATCTGATGAGAGCAGGCCAGCCTGGGCCCTCCAGGTTGGGGGAGAGACCATTGCCTTCCTCTGCGTAGCAACCCTGCACTTCCTCTGCATTCTCCCATCCGAAGACTAACCAGGGCCGACCCTGCTTAGCTTCCACGATCTGATGAGAGCAGGCCAGCCTCGGCCATCTAGGTCATGGCAAGAGATTAGCAGAGATGGTTTGCCCTTGCCTGCCTCTGCGTAGCAACCCTGGACTTCCTTGGCTGGTCTCCCATCTGAAGACTAACCAGGGCCGACCCTGCTGAGCTTCCACGATCTGATGAGATCAGGCCAGCTTGGGTCCTCCAGGTCGGGGCAGAGAGGAGAATTGCCATTGCCTTCCTCTTCATAGCAACCCTGGACTTCCTCTGCATTCTCCCATCCGAAGACTAACCAGGGCCGACCCTGCTTAGCTTCCACGATCTGATGACAGCAGGCCAGCCTCGGCCATCTAGGTCAGGGCAAGAGATTAGCAGAGGTGGTTTGCCCTTGCCTGCCTCTGCATAGCAACCCTGGACTTCCTCGGCTGGACTCCCATCCAAATACTAACCATGGCCGACCCTGCTTAGCTTCCAAGCTCTAATGAGAACAGGCTGGTCCGGAATATTCAGGCTGCTCTCTGTCCAGTAGGCTGCTACCCTGCACTTCTTCCACAGAGCTCTGAGTGGCATACATGGCTCTCCATTCCCCATTTCCCCTCCCCTTTCAACAGCCTTTTGAGCAGAGGGAAGAGATTGGATGTCTACCCCGCCCTTCACTACCCGAAGGAGTCTCAGAGCGGCTTACAATCTCCTTCCCCTCCCCACAACAGACACCCTGTGAGGTAGGCGGGGCTGAGAGAGCCGGAGACTGCCCTTGAGGGAACAGCTCTGAGAGAACTTGTGACTGGCCCAAGGTCACACCAGCAGCTGCACGTGGAGGCGTGGGGACTCAAACCCGGTTCTCCCAGATTAGAGTCTGTGCTCTTAACCACGACACCAAACTGGCTGGGCTGAGAACCAGTCACTGAGTCAAGGCCCTGGCTCCACATTCTAACCACTAGGCAAGACTGCTTCTCATCCCATGGCCAGTTCTGCCTGAAAAGGTGTCAAGCAAGATATGGAAGACGCTAGTTCCCCTCGGGAAGCGATACACGGCAGCTACAACCCTAAGAGCTCTCCCCTGCCCCAGAGCCAGGGACCCCAACCACATCTTACCAGTAATTTCTGGTATTTGGTCTGCAACTCACTCATGTATTCCTAGAAAAAGAGAGAAGAACACGAGTGTTACTTAGAAGAGGCTAAGGTTTATCGAATTATGCATGGGGTGGAGGGAGTTAACAGAGAGAACTTTCTCTCCCTGCCAAAATACTGGAACTTGAAGGTACCCAGTGAAGCTGATGGGCAGTAGGTTAACGACAAATTAAGGAAATACTACTTTACACAGAGAGCGATTCAAATATGGAATTCACTGCCAAAGTATGCAGTAACAGCTACAGGAATGTACAGCTTTAAAAGGGAATTAGATATATTCATGGAGAATAAGCCTGTCACTAGCCATGGTGACTGAGGGGAACCTCCACGTTCAGAGGCACTAATCCTCTGAATCCCAGAGCCAGGAGACACCATCAGGGAAAGACCTCGGCCTCTATGCCTTATTGTTAGCCCTCCAGAGGAACTGGTTGGCCACCGTGTGAGACAGGATGCTGGACTAGATGGATCCTCACTGGTCTGATCCAGCAGGGCTCTTCTTAGGTTCTTATGAGGGAAAGGCTTCGGCCTCTCTGCCCTGTTGTTGGCCTTCCAGAGGAACTGGTTGGCCACTGTGTGGGACAGGATGCTAGACTAGGTGGACCCCTGGTCTGATCCAGCAGGGCTCTTCTGATGTTCCTACGAAGGCCTCGGCCTCTGTGCCCTGTTGTTGGCTCTCCAGAGGAACTGGATGGCCCCTGTGTGAGACAGGAGGCTGGAGTAGATGGACCCTCACTGGTCTGATCCAGCAGGGCACTTCTGATGTTCTTATGAGGGAAAGGCCTCGGCCTCTCTGCCCTGTTGTTGGCCCTACAGAGAACTGGCTGGCCCCTGTGTGAGACAGGATGCTGGACTAGATGGACCTCTGACCTGATCCAGCAGGGCTCTTCTGAGGTTCTTATCAGGGGGAGGCCTCGGCCTCTGTGCCCTATTGTTGGCCCTCCAGAGGAACTGAATGGCCCCTGTGTGAGACAGGATGCTGGAGTAGATGGACCTCTGATCTGATCCAGCAGGGCTCTTCTGAGGTTCTTATCAGGGAAAGGCCTTGGCCTCTCTGCCCTGTTGTTGGCCCTCCAGAGGAACTGGCTGGCCATTGTGTGGGACAGGATACTGGACTAGGTGGTCCTCTGGTCTGATCCAGCAGGGCTCTTCTGATGTTCCTATGAAGGCCTTGGCCTCTGTGCCCTGTTGTTGGCCCTCCAGAGGAACTGGTTGGCCCCTGTATGAGACAGGATGCTGGACTAGGTGGACCCTCACTGGTCTGACCCAGCAGGGCTCTTCTAACATTCACCCAAAACTGAGGGTAGCTCCAAATTCCATGTTGTAAAGCTTGATGGTACCAGCACCCGGGGGGGGGGTAGATGGGCACTCCCTGGAGCTAACCCGTGCCATTCAGAGAACAAACACACATATGTTCCCAAGCCTGGTCGGGGTTCCCAGATTGTGCTTTAAGGGCACGGGAAGGTCATCTGCCCTTCTAACACGTATGCTGCCGGAGATAAGGAGGCAACACCCAGCAAAGGTAAAATAAAAAAGTGTGGGCCGCTTGTGTTTGTTCACCGCAAAACCGAAAGGCAAAAGTCACGTAAGGACCTTGATTAAGACCGAGCCAGATAATACTGAGCCAGATATCGAGACGTCATCTTCAGGCAGGTGGTTAATGAAAAACCAGAAGAGAACTTGAAAGCGTGCGTGCTGTGATGAATTTATTTTGGTTGGTTGTGGGATAAATCCAGGGCTATTTTTGGGCAGGAACGCACAGGAATGGAGTTCCGCCTGGCTCCCAAGTTGGCCACGCCCAGCAGGAACTCATTAGCATAATAGGCCACACCCAACAGCAGGAACTCATTAGGATTGGCTACATTAGGGGGTGTGTGGCCTAACATGCAAAGGAGTTCCTGCTATAAAAAAGCCCTGGGTTTTGACAACAAACAAGGTAAACAGAATAAGAAGCAAAAGGTGGGTGTGTCTGGATGACCACACTTCTGCGAACATGGGGTGTGTGGCCTAATATGCTAATGAGCTGTGCTGTCAGGGGTGTGTCCTAATAAGCAAATGAGTTTCTGCTGTTGGGTGTGGCCTATTATGCTAATGAGTTCCTGCTGGGCTTTTTCTACAAAAAGAGCCCTGGATAAATCATATGGACTGGCTTTTGGACACAGCCAAGGTATGTTTGCCTTTGCTGAGAGAGGAGGGAAGCGTAGGGGGAAAAATTGGGGCAGCTCAGCAGGA